ATATACCAGAGAACACCTATTGCAGCAAGAACAAAAGGGAATCTAAGAGTAAACTATGGAACCTATGAACAGCCGAACCCAGCAATGAAATGGAAAAAGGAATCCTAGTATGATAGGAGTTCACAGACAGCAATATACACCATTAAATATGGTTAAATAACCAAAAGAGCTTAGCAAAGAGAGAGGCAATTACAAACTCAATAAAAAATTAAGGTCATGGGATGTCTGGGTGCCTCAGTCAGTTAAGCAGCTGCCTTTGGTTCAGTTTGTGATCCCAGAGTTCTGGGATTGAATGCCGCATCGAGCTCCTTTTCTCAGCTAGGAGCCAGCTTCTCCCTCTGCCTGCCGCTCCCACTGCTTGTGTGCATGCTCTCTCTCTGACAAAGTCTTAAAAATAAAAATTTTTTTAAAGTCATGATTCATTGTTTTAGCAATAGCATGAACCTAAACAAAGGACCATTAAAAGAATTCATTTTATCTCTTAGAATTTTGCTTTCCAAAGGATGCAGGATTTGTCAAAAAATATTACCTGTGAATCTAAGTAAATTACCCATCATAAATGCGGATTTTATCTATATTCAGTCTAGAGGCAAAATAAGATAATCGGTTATAAAATGTCATAAACCTGGGGCACCTGGGTGGCTCAGTGGGTTAAGCCTCTGCCTTCGGCTCAGGTCATGATCTCAGAGTCCTGGGATCAAGCCCCCTGTGGGGCTCTCTGCTCAGTGGGGAGCCTGCTTCCCCCCTCTCTCTGCCTGCCTCTCTGCCTACTTGTGATCTCTGTCAAATAAATAAAATATTAAAAATAAATAAATAAAATGTCATAAACCTGACAACAGACAAGACAATGGGAATTGGGAGATGAAGGAAAAGAAAGTAACGAGTGTGCTGCTTCCTTAAATAGAGAGGAGCAAACAGATACTAAAGTTGGTGTAAGTAGAGGCTTAAATGAAGTTTGAGTAATAAAGGTAATCAACAGAATTTAAGAGTTCAGCGAAAAGAGAACAGAACTAGTGTAAGCTAAACTCCTTGCAAGAGGTAATACTGCTTAAATTTAGTAATCAAGATACATGTAAACAGTAACCATTCTAAGAATTAAAGACGTTCTCTCAGCAAATCGGATAGAATGTAAGCAGAAATATAGACTTCCTGTGCTACTTCACATTGGGTCCTATATCTCCTGTTCTCCAAGTATACGGCTTATATTATTCAAGCTAAAATATCAACTAAGCATAAACATAAATAACACCTTTCTCCACTACTCAAACTAGGAGTTATAGATATATCATTGTGAGATACCTTAAATTCAAAGCCTCTCTTTTTTCTAAGATTTATTTGACAAAGATCACAAGTAGGCAGAGAGGCAGGCAGAGAGGAAGCAGGCTCCCTGCTGAGCAGAGATTCCCATGCAATTCGGGGCGTGATCCCAGGACCCTGGGGTTATGAGCTGAGCTAAAGGCAGAGGCTTTAACCCACTGAGCCATCCAGACACCCCTCAAAGCCACTCCTTTCAAGTGATTTAACAACCTACCAAATGAAAGGTAAATACACCTATCCATACAGATGCAACCATGGCTCAGTTATTTTAGAATACAGTTAAGGATTAGAAATCTTTTTTCAAGAATTTGAAACTTAACTAACTTTATAAGTACCTAGCCTTCATGCTTTTCTCAGGTATCATCACTTATCCTCTCTGCATAAAAAGCTGATACAAATTTTGTAGACTTAAAAACCAGGGACGCCTGGGTGGCTCATTTGGTTAAGTGGTTGCCTTTGGCTCAGGTGGTGGTCTCAGGGTCCTGGGATCAAGCCCCGCCCACCAGCCTCCCTGCTCAGCAGGGGATTGTGCTTCTCACTCTCCCATGGTTCCCCACCCCCATGCTCACACTCTCTGACAAAATCTTAAAAAACAAACAAAAAAAAAACTATACTACACTAAACCAGCAAAACAAGAATTCAATCTTGAAATACACCAACCTTATAAAGAGGATTGTAGTTGGATGCTGTTTCATTCAGCAACTTAGAATTTAGCCAACCATCAGCATAAAGGAAAACTGCTGAGCTGGGTTATAACTACAGTATTTTCTTAACTTTTTTTTTTTTTTAATATTTTATTTATTTGACGAGAGAGAGAGAGATCACAAGCAGGAGGAAGCAGCAGGGAGAGGGAGAAGCAGGCTCCCCACTGAGCAGGGAGCCAGATATGAGGCTTGATCCGAGGATCCTGGGATCACGACCTGAACCATAGACAAACGCCTGACTAAGCCATCCAGGCTTTCCCAAAAGTGATTTTTATATATATCACAAGGCCAACTGTTCTCTTAACTTCCAATTTTGATTTTCTTAAAAAATGTCAGATGTAGAATTTAAATGGGAATCTTCATGAACTTAGTTTACTTAAGACATTACCATTACATGCTCATTTTTTAAAAATTTTCAGAGCAGCAGGCAGAGCGAGAGCGGGACTCAACGCAGGACCATGGGGATCATGACCTGAGCCAAGCCACCCAGGGGTCCCTAGCATTACATGCTCATTTGAAAAAGCTTTCTATGTTGTATATTCAGTGGCTTGAAATCTTTATTCCTTTTTCAAATTAGCAAGCCACAAGCCTAATTCAGCAAATAAACTAACTTCCCACCAAACTGAAAAATATTTGAGTATTTCTAAATGCCTAATACCATTAGTTCAGATTTTTCTGCCCTGAAGGAGCTTCCATTCGAAGGGGCAAAAGATACTGAGTAGTAATTTAAATCGACTGATGAAGAGAGACACTAGGCAAAAATAAAGAAACTGAAGCAACTACAGTATCTGCTGCTGGGGTCCTAACTATAGCTGATCCTAACTGCTAAATGATGGAAACCAAGAGAGCAACTAAAATTTCTTATGATACAATTTTAGAAAAGCTTTTTCATATCTTAATTCTATTTATAAATGAATCTGAAGTTAAGCAGGTTCATAAAGGAAAATGTACTGGTCCTTAATGTTCAAGGATTCTTAAGAATTCAATGTGTACAAATTCATGTGGATTTTTACTATTTCAGGAAAAAAGCAAAGGAGGTTATTAAATTTTGCCAACCAAAACTGTGTACATCTGCATGTGGCTGCAGAGAATTAGAAAGTATATTCTACCAATTTTTACAGATGGCCTTTGACATACTGCTCATTACTTTTGGTTTTCCACTCATTCCAAATACTGAGTATACCAAGACAATTAGAATATATGCTTTTATAATATTTCATGATGTTTCATAAGTTAAAGCAAATGTAGAAGCCCAATTTGAGCCTTCCAATTAAAGTAACATAAATACTAACATATTAAAGATACACTCCTTAAAAACAAAGTCATTAAGGGTTTCTTTCCTCATTGACATAAAATATAAGGGCACCCATCTGGCTCAGTCAGCAGAGCATCCGACCCTTAATCTCAGGGCCCGGAGTTCAAGCCCCACATTGCGTATGGAGCCTACTTGTTTTTTATCAATTTTGTGTTCAAATGATGCAGTACCGACATTTCCTAATTCCCACAGGAAAAAACTGGGACACCTATATTCAACAGCAAGCAGATTATACAAATGCCGTAATTATTCAAATTTCCTTCATTTCATCTGAATTAAGAGAGACACATCAGATGTAATGTTAGAATTCTTCTGGTATGTTGTATGCTTCTACACTTAGAAGACCAGATTATGAAATCTACATTCTGTTCTACAGCTTTTATATTATGAACAAGCCCTGTTTTCTTTAATCTGTAGTAATAGCTTGTCTACAAGCTTTAACCATGAAATAAAATTGGATGTAGTTCATAAATGACAGAAGATACCAATTCCCTTAGATATCCTAAAACTGTCTCCAAAACAAGTTAATAGTTCGATGTAATCTTTTCAGAATACAAACTGAAAGCCCAAGTCAAGAAAGGACACTTCATGAACATTAGATAGCAGGCTTTTTAACTCCTCTCAGATTAGAACTTGTTTTAAACCACTTTATAGACAAAGCGAAAAATCAGGTATTCACTGAAGCCTGTAAAAATTATTCTATCATAACCTTGATTCTATTAAGTTTACTGGTTGTGTTAGAAACACATTCCAGGAAACTAACATGTGAAGATACTAAACTCCCAAACAGTTCATGAGGATTCCTCCCTTACTCAGTCTTATTTCAACCAAGTACTAGTTTGGTCTCTGCAAAGGGAGACAAGCAACATAAATGGTTTTCAAAACACCCTAGAGGTGACCCAGAATCTTGCAGGTATAAAACTTCCATGACTGCTCTGAAAAGACAAAAACTTCTTTTCATAAATAGCATAAATTTTGGTTATCCCAAGTATAATACAAACTAAATTCTGCACTAAGTGACCTTGTAAAAGGATTTTTGTCTGACTGAAGCGGCCAAAATTACCACTACCTGCCCCTCCACCTGCCAAGAAACTCTTAGGGCTATGAGCCAAACTCTTCAGATGTATTTACAAGTTCCCCATTCTTTGATGATTTGCCAACTTAACTTACTGGAACCCATTTTTAAGCTGAGTTCACCTACCTAACCTCATTGGCAGTCATCTAAATGTTCAACATTTTATTATTAAAACAGATCCGTTTGTTCACTCCACTCTCCCGAATTACTTGCAACCTCAATCATTTCCAAACCTTCAGAGAAAGATTGTGATAGAGAATGGAAGAACATTGCATGGTAGGGTGTGTTCCCAGGAAAGAACCAAATTACCATTAAATTCTTCATCCACTGGCATGTGTGTGACCACAGAATATTTTCACCAATTAAAATTAAGTGAAGACCAACTCTATATGTTTACATCTCCCCATCGTGTGCTTGAATCAGGGATCTTGGAGAATCTGTTTTTTACCATTGGCTAGTCACTTTGAATGTATAATCACAAAAGGTGAAGAGCTCTAAAAAGATTCCAAGTGTCTATTCAAAAGCTGTTAAGTGAAAAACGATGAAATGGAGCACACCCACAATAATTCTTGGACTCCTGGAGATCCTAAGACATGCTACAAAAATAGGTCTTTATTCTTAGGAAAATATAGTCAGAGCTAGCTTCCTTATGCTATACATAAAATCTTAACATCAGAGGCAGTACAGATAGTACAGATAGTTTTTTGAACTGATCTCCAAACAAGCACAAACCCACTACGTTAAAAAGAACAGATAAGTTGAGGTTTTTGGCAAAAGACAGTACTTCACACATCTAATCCAAATCAAAGAGCCTGCAGACAGTTGTTTTCAGTGAGATGAAAGGAATGAAATAAATATAAATTCTATGGATAAATAAATGTAAGAGACAATTTAAATAAGCTAAGAGAACTAATATTTCTTTTAAATAAAAGTACTAGTCAGGTACAAGCTTTTGTTTCTCAATGCCAGACTTCTAAATGTTTATCAGACTACTGTTAAAATCATTAAAAACCTAATCTTGGACCAGAGCATTAGTTATAATACTGTTTTGCATTTGTAAAAAAGATGTTTTTTTCCAACTGAATGCTTCTAGTCCTGAGAAATATTTTATGTATATTACTGAAGGCAGACTGTGGTGCTAATAGAACTTACATTTAAGTACTTTTTAAAAAAGTGACAGACCAAAAAGTCCATCTATTAATTTGCCCACAGTTAAAAATGTCTTTGAACGTTGGTTTATAATTAGCATCTTAAGAAAAGTAGTGGCATGCCCTATTGAGTGGTATCACTGAGTAAATGCTACACTTTAAAACATCATCCTCACAAGTCTATTCATTTTATGTAGTTATTTAAGTCTTTCATTCATTCATTTTATACCCACCAATGAATTCCTATGGTCAGATAGAAATTTTATGGAATACATCACTGGGGAGAAAATGATTGTGGTGGGTATTCCTGGGAAGTTGTAGGAATCTGAGCATCCATTTACTCTAGGGTCAGCTCCCTCTCCAAAATGCATGAAGTCCTTCCACATTTACTTTCTCCCCTCGGAATAGAGACATGGCTTACTCTATAATAACAAGGTGATCTTCTGTTGTTTCTAGTCAACAGTGACGTCAGCTAAGCAGTCAAAAAAAGCTGTCCTGCGTGTGACAATTTTGCCCATCTAGCATGTGTTCATCCTGATATTAAGTCTTTCCAATACATACAAGTAAATACCCGAGATCACCCCATCAATCCATTCCTATTAAGTTCCTATTTTATCATGAGGAAAATGTTTATATTCTATTAAATCAGACTTGCAGTAATTAATAAATTTCTCATGATGCTACAACAACCACCATCATGAGTGTGCAACCGCTCTTTGTGCTCAACCCCCACTTCATTTCTAGTATCTGATTCAATTGCAATGGCTGAAAATCTCCCACAAAAAGCGTGTTTGGGAAAATATATATAACACAATTTTCTCACAAAGCAACTTTCTGAAAACTGATTAACTAAACTGATGATCACGTTTGATTGCCAAGTAGTCTGCAGAAACAAAATCTTGCGTCTGTTTGTTTAGGTAACTCAAGTTCCTTGTTTAACAATCAGAATGCTTTAAGAATACATTTTTCACCCCAAGGAAGGGACTTGACTCTTGGATTTAAGACCCATTCCTTGACAATATATACAAAATTTCTTTTAACTTGTCATCTGTCCATCTTTGAAGCTGTCAAAGCCAAGAACCCATAAACAAATCACAAATAGCAATAACCTACATTAGTTAACATTCCCCTTTTAACATGTTGACATTTTTACTAAAGGATTAGTTATTTTTGCATTTCCATTTCTCATATCCCATGACATTCCATATAAATTGCATTATTGCTTTATAGGCCACACAACATTCAAAAGTATGTTTATATGCATTGCCTGTTTTCCTTGATCTCTTATTGATAAAAGAGTTTGATGCTGATTTTTTACTACAGAAATTTAAGTTTGAAAATACCAGTTAGTATTTCTTCTCAGAACTTAATTGTTCACATCACTAATCACTACATGCATATTTAGCTCTGATTATATTGCTCAAAAACTGCACCCATTATCAGAACAGTGCAAATGATATTTAATTTTAAAATTATAATGGCTTGAATTCAAAGTTATTCAAATGAACACTGTCAAGTAATTTCACTTGAGTGTGTATATATTTCATCACCACTGTTTACATTACCCATCAATTCTTCACAATTTCTTTATATCATCATTTTCCCTCCCAAATCCCCAAACTAAGAATGCCAAATAATCTTGGAAACCCACAGCTCCATATTTTAATGTTTCAAGAACACATTTGTGAACTCACAAAAATGTTCATCTTTCAACTTTGACAATGCATTTCTTACTTAAGTCAAACAAACCCGTCCTAAAATCCCAACAAATAATTCTGAGAATTAACTTAAACACCTTGACAGTGTCCCTTAAAAAAGGGTATGACAGTAAAGTGCCAATAGGCATGGCAATGACCTCTCTGATGGGATCATTTAACTCCTTGGAACTGGGAAATGCCAGCACCAAAGATTACACTGAGATTCAATTTAACTGAAGGCTACATTTAGTTTACCCACTTTCCACAACCTATTATACTCATTATATGTTAGAATGAAATGTAAATGTTTTGTGTAGCCCTCAAACTTACACTAAGATTTGAAAGAGATGTACTTTTAAAAAAGCACGGGGTAATATATAAAATCAGTGGCAGAAAGTTTCATTAAGCACCAGGAACTAATTTTTGTCACCCCATACTCATTTTGTAGGTAAGTTTCAATAACCGGCAAGGCACATTTACATATATTCCAATGAATACTTATTGACAAATTTTAAATTACACTCTATGTCCCAGCTATCCCAGTAACTGACATACAACATACTAAAATGGTTTATTAAGGTAACATAAAAAAACCAATTAATGTGAAACATACAGGCTATTGGCAACCACTATTCTAAAATTATGTAAGTACAAATAAACATACTGAAATGTGTGCAATTCTAAGTTTTTAAACCAGAATATTTCTACACTAACACACATTTATATTAATGACACATAAAAAAAATAAAAACTTTATTACAAAAATAAGTTACACTCGCCTCCAGCTTACAGTATAAAACAATTTTATTTGCAGGAATGCAAAATGATTGTTTGCCATGAGCATTTTGAACATATGACATGTCTAATTTTGTTAAATTTGCATTTACTGGGGGAACTGGTGTGTATAAAACCTTAATTAAGTATAATAAGCTCTGATCTTCATCGTGGTGCCTATTGGGTATGTGATATAACTGCAGTATCCCTTTGGGGAAGGGGAAAAGGGATTTCTTTATACCAAGTCCTAATTAGACTATAATTTCACTTTTGACTTTAAGCTATCAATTTAGGACTTGGCAAAAAATTTGAGGGTGATTCAATAGAGGATGCTTCACCACTGAACACTCACTGTCATCAAGGTGCTTTAGAAAATTAAAAACATAGCACAAATGATTGTACTCTATTCTACAAGTTATCATGACCTGCATAAGAAATGGAAAGCTGATTCACATTTTTGCAGTGATCAGCAGTAAGAAATGCACTAATGAAACATACCTTTTACCTAAAAAGCTAAACTACAGCCATATACTAATTTCTATGATTTATGAAAAAACTTCAAAATATCCAAATGTCAGGCTTTGCTGTACAATTGTCAGTT